GTTTGGTACTGGCTGCAACAGCTGAAATTACTGAACAGGTTTGGTATTATTCTAGCAGAAGTGACTAATTGAATATGTAATTATCATAAAGGGTATTAATATTATTACACCATATTAAATAATGTGTGTGAGTGTATCAAATACGGAGTGTACTATACAGCCCACTAGGAATTATATTTGTAGAAGGCAGGTTTCAATCAAATACGTAGGTTTCCAATCGAGTATGCTACCTAGAATTTATACGCATGAATCCATTCATGAGGCCATGAGGGGAGATTGAAAGCACTGTTGTAGGTTTTAAGAGGTGAGCTTTGGGGTAATAAAGAGGGATAAAAGTGTCTTCTAATAGTTTAGTGGAAGGATAATAGAATTGAGCTGAAAAAGTAGCTATTTACTTACTTTTTCAGCTGATAATAAAAAACAGTCACACCAGTCAATTCAATTGGTGTTTGGTTAATTTTAGGAAATACTGTCAAATAGGTACACGTAATATTGCCAAAAAATTAATTGAGTCCATATACTTATAAATGAATCAATCGAGTCTATGAACTGTTAAAAAATAGCCAATTTGACTTTTTTACAGGTAATGAGCTGGTAACCTACCTACTGAAGTCTACTTGGCATTTTTTGTTGTTTTCTATTTGGGGTTAGGTCACCAATATTACTAATTATAAGAGATTTGACAAATATAAGACCTCTTTATAATTCTCCCAAATAAGAGACCACCGTGTGATCACTTTGTGAGTTATTCGAATAAAATATCAAATATACCCCTCCCTAATTAATACTCTATACAAGAACTAAATACGTATGTACCAGTGCCACCGTATCATTCTTGGAAAAATGCCCCAGGCAATTAAGATAATCGAATCCAACCAATTATACTTATATAACCCCATCAATCATAATTTTTTGATTCGATCAGTTACAGTTATTCGATTCATTAAGTCACAGTTACTTGACCCGTCGTCCAATTACAGTTATCTTTTCCGTCCAATTACAGTTACCCGACCCGTCGTCCAGTTACAGTTACCCGACCCGTCATCCAATTACAGTTATCCGACCCATCATCCAGTTACAGTTACCCGATCCGTCCAATTACAGTTACTCAACCCGTCGATCCAGTTACAGTTACCCGATACGTTCAGTTACAGTTACTAAATTACATTACTCGGTTCGATAGTGACCATCGTTAGCCACCATCGTTGGTACCCACTGATGGCCACCGCCACGATGACAAACGTTATAGTGACTTCCACCCAATGAATAATTGACATAGTGACTCCCGTCTCGTGTCTCGTGACTCCCACCGCCCGTTCAGTGATCACGGCCGCCCGTCCGGTGACAACATCTGCCCGTCCAGTGACCAACACCCCCCTTCCAATGACCACCGCCCCACCCATTACATTTATTGCCGCTTGTCCATTACCCGCCGCTCCACCGGTTCTAGTTACCACAACCCATCCGGTGACCGCCGCTTGCACCCGCCCTTTCTCAGCCACCACCGCTTCACTAGTCTCTCCCGATCCCCGGCCGCCATCATAGCACACACACCCGCCCTTGTCCCGCCACCTGCCCAGATTCAGCCCGCGCCCCAAATTCAGCCCCTGGCCCGCCACCTGCCCAGCCCCCGCCCCAAATTCAGCTCCTGCCCCACCACCTGCCCAGCCCTGGCCCCAAATTCAGCCCCAGACCCAGATTCAGCCCCAAACCCATCCCCAACCCCAACCTCAACCCCAGAGCAAGCCCGGATCCAGCCCCCTCCCTAGCCTCTCATCCCATCGCCTCACCCTCCAACCCCCCCCCCCTCCCGCCACCGCCTTCCCAACCCCCTATGCCCAACCCCTGCTCTCGCGTTCGCCGGGCAAAAAATTGTGTGTCTCCACCATCGAAAAAAGAAAAAGAAGAAGATCGAGTGGTGTAGGGAGATGGCGAGGTCCGGAGAGGCACTTCGTGATGGCGGCGTAGATATTTCGATTGTCGGTGATGACGAATTCTTCGAAGAAGAGACTGCACTGGGACGAGTTTGGAGGCTGAGTCTGAGATCTGTGATGCTAAGAGAGTGAGAGACGGAAGTGATGCAAATTTAATATTCGAGGGCACTTTGGTCTCTGCAACGTTTTTTACTCTCTTTTGTGTCCATACGTTAATCAGGTTTATTTTTGTCAAGTGTAAAGCCCATTGTCTTACTTTTGTCATTATTTCTTTCTATTTTCAGTTTATTTTTTATTTTTGTTGTTCCTTTTATCGATCTTCCTTTTTCTCTACATCATTTGCCTTGTTGCACAGTTGCACACTATGACATCCTATGTCGTCATGAACGGTGAACCTGCATAGTACGACCTGTTATGGTTCAACCACCGAGCACCCACCGACAATTTCCGCGAAACCACCAAACAACCCAAAGCCCAGCAACAACGCCGAGCAAATCAACAACTCCCAACAGTGTCGAGCAAATCAACAACTCCCAACAACGTCGAGCAAATGAAGAACCTCTGCTGCTATACAACGTCTCCCCTAACCCCTGCAGTGGCTCCCCCAAATCCATGCAACTCTAGATTGAAGAGAAGATTTACATTATATCTTGGACGGTTGGCCCAACCCTCACAATAATAAAACTAATGGGCAACGACTGGGTAAGCGTCCTTCGCCGTCACCGGACGAATGGAGTAGAAGAGGCCGCTGGCGAAGAAGCTAAAAGGAAAGAAAGAGAAGGATATTGCTAGAGTTACAAGGGAGAAATTAAGAAAGGTAACCGATGGATGGCTGCAAACCCAGGGAAAAGAGAGTTTTTTCCCGGAATAATGCTAACTAACTAAATTATTCCCGAAATACTGTCGGGTTAAGAATACTTCCCAAAATACTGCTGGAATTAACCACGGTTAAGGAAAGGCGCCACTTCAAAAAATCTGCCACTCCGAGTGGCGGCTCTTCTCTTATAGTACAAAAGCCGACACTTCAAGTGGCGGCGCTTCTCTTACGTCCCATTTTGTACATATATAAAACGCAGTATATTTCAAGAATTTGTTTAACTGTCTTCCCGATTGCATTTTGAGCTGAAATTTGGTATGCATAAACAAGACTTGATGAAGAACATGCTCAAAAAAGTTCATCAAAAAATTCCACCAGAAACACCCTCTGATGGTGTTGTCCGCGGGGGGTTCCGGTGAGGACGTCATGACAAAAGGGTGGTCCGGCCACCTCAATTTGAGGTGATTCCTGGTGGGATGTTTTGTTGAATTTTTTTGTATGTTACTCATCAAGTCTAGTTAATTCATATCAAATTTAAGAACCAATATCAATTGGAAAAGCAGTCAAATGATTTTTTTAAAGATAACTGTGTTTTATATGTATAATCTGGCGTTGTTATCTTTCAAAAATCATTTTACGGCCTTTCGGATTGATTTCTTTGCTCAAATTTGGTATGACTGAACTAGACTTTATTAAGAACATACAAAAAAAAATTCATCAAAACATACCACCGGGAACCACCTCAAATTGAGGTGTCCGGATCACTCTTTTGTCATGACGTCCTGACCGGAACCCCCCGCGGACAACATCATCATAGGGTGTTTCCGGTGGAATTTTTTGATGAATTTTTTTGAACATGTTTCCCATCAAGTCTAGTTCATGCATACCAAATTTCAGCTCAAAATTCAATCGGGAAGGCAGTTAAAAAAAATCTTGAAACATATTGTGTTTTATATATGTACAAAATGGGACGTAAGAGAAGAGCCGCCACTTGAAGTGACAGCTTTTGTACTATAAGAGAAGAGCTGCCACTCTTAGTGGCGGCTTTTGTGAAGTAATACAAGAGCCGCCACTTGGAGTGGCGGCTTTCCTTAACCATGGTTAATTCCATCAGTATTTTGAGAATTATTCTTAATCCGGCGGTATTTCGGGAATAATTTATTTAATTAGCATTATTTCGGGAAGAAAGAGAAAGAAAACGCAAAAAAAAGGAAAAGGAAATAAAAATTATTGCCACATGTACACCCATATCAGCATTAACTGGTAATAGATATACTCAACCGGCTAGAAAGCTAAATTGGTGATTTTATAAAAGTCCAAAGACTTGATTGACTCAATAAAAAGTGCAAGTACTCAATTGACTTTTTGACAAAGATACATGTATTTATTTGATAGTTTTCCTTAATTTTATAACTTTTGAGGCTTATAAGACCATTTGAAGTGGAGTGGAGGCCAAAATGTCCAAAATGGACACCGTTCATATGTCAACAGTGTTTTGACTCATATTTTTATGCATTCCAGCATCGTCAATAAAATACACTCAACATATTTTTTTACATATCAATTTAATAAAACATTAATTAAATTATTATAAGTAATGTTTTCCTTCTATTTTTTTCCCTAAATAATTATGAAATAAAAAATACACATTTCGATGTAAAATTAAAAAAAATCTCATTAATTTTTTAACGTTTTTCGGTTAACATAAAATGAATTTAGTTCAAATAAAGTTTGATTATGGAATATTCTGTTATTGGTGAAGCTCCATGAATTTAAAATTTGTGTTTTGTGTTTTTAGGTTCAGGAAAAACTTCAACAATTAAAACGTAAAAAATGTTATCATTTTTATATATTACATATTGGTGTCATATGAAAGAATAAAAATTCATAAATTTTGATACATTTTTTATAAAATTTGGATTAGAAATTAAAAAGTTATACTAACTCCGTCTCTTAAAACTTTGACAAGTTTAATCAGCACGAGGATTAATAAAGTAAAAATTGTATGGTTGAAGTTTGTGCACAGGAGAGAGAATTAACTGGAACCACAAATTCTTTACTTAAAAGGGAAAGTGACAAAATTAGTGAGACTTCTAAAAAAGAAAAATTAGCAAAATTTTAAAAACGGAAGGAGTAATACATTTAAAAAAAAATCTATGATAGACACATACCTCACATTTCCCTCTCTCCTCCACACATCCTCCCTCTATATTTACCCCCTCCACCCCATATTCCATTTTTACTATCCATTGTAACCTATCACTGCTCATCTTTAATATTTTGGACTCAAAACGGGCCCTGCAAAAAAGTTCCAAAAACTCTCTACCTGGAATGAAGGACGTGCGTATTCGGGCAACGTAGATAAATTAGCTTCTCCAATTTATTTCTCTTAACTTTCCCTAACCTTTCTTGTCTTGTCTTGTTGTCTCCATCTCCACTCACTCTAGGCGAGACCAGCTTTTCCTGAGCGCATCGCGAATAATGATCACATAATCTCCATGTCCTCTACCTTTTATTTTCAAGAAATTCATTTATTATTGTAAGTTGAAATCGTAGAAACACAAAAGTTGCAGAAATGGCTGACGTGAACGAAGGGCAGGAAGGGAAACTCAGCCGCCGGTGCGATTTCTGCTGCTCAGCCTTGGCGGTGCTGTACTGCAGACCCGATTCGGCCAACCTTTGCCTCGGCTGCGACCGGGAGGTCCACTCCACCAACCCGCTCTTCACGAAACATACCCGGTCCTTGCTTTGCGACGCGTGCGATTCCTCCCCGGCCACCATCTTCTGCTGCACCCACTCCTCCGTCTTCTGCCAGAACTGCGACTGGGAATCTCACTCCCTCAGCCTCTCCCCCGCCCACGTCCGCCGCCCCCTCGAAGGTTTCACTGGCTGTCCTTCCGTCACAGAACTGCTTGCAGTTTTCGGGTTCCCAGATGTTGGGAAAAAGGCCCTTCTTATTCACGATGATGATGGGGATGGCTATGGTTGTGCCGGAGATGACGGAAGTGGAGACGATGGGATTTTGGATTATCTTGTTTGGGACACTCCAGCTGTTGTCAATCTTGACGATTTGATAGTAGCTCCCAAGAATTCTAACCCTAATTTTCAGGCCATGGGTGTTCCTCCTCTTCCCAAGGTCTGCTACTGCATAGTTTTTTTGTTTGACTAACCTCATTTTAGAATATTTTTCCATCATTTGTGATAAAGCTAAATGACTCACTAAACTCACAGCTCTTTTCTCTCTATATATGGGTGAGATCACATACAAATTGTGCTTAATTTACTAATCTACAAACTCAATAATATGCAACACTTTGAACTTTAATATGCAATACAAATACTTTATATATATGCGAGTACTACTCGCCGAGTACTACTTGTTTTGCTCTATTAATCCAATGATTTTCCTTCTTTGGTCAAAAGTCCCACTCTAAAATATTGAACTGAGGTGGAGATGAGATTATAAAGGGTTTGAGTTAGACTAGCAAATCAATTCGATCTGAGCTTTTAGTATAGTTTGATTGATCCCAACATAATTATAAGTTTTATAGTCTTTTCTTCACAAATAAGTTATTAAGTTTTCGTGATACCTTGGTCATATTTGTAATGTTTCCTTTAGTTATAGATATTGTGTTTTGCGTATCCTACTCTTGAACATGAGAAACTTTGTGGTTAAGGATCATTCCAAGTTTTGGTCTAAAAGTTCAAAGTTTTAGTGACTAACAATCTGTGAAGAAATCTTGATCCTCTCGTGATTGGGGATTTGGGGTGATGGGGTGTATATACTGTTACTGGATGCAGAACAGGAATGCTGCTTGTGGACAACACAAAGAAGAAATACTTTCTCAGCTTCGCAAAATGTCTAATCTGGAACCTGATCTCTTTGCTGACCAAGAGGAACCTGAGCCTGGTGGAGGCTGTCAGAGTATGGAAAATGAACTACACCGTCTGTTTGGAGAGACTGATTCCAGATTTGAACAGAACATGGACGCTGCATTAATCCCTTACTCAGAAGTAAAGGTTTCTTTAATACACCGAGTCTAACTAATTCAATTGATCTTTGTGTTTGTGTGTTTGTGTCTTTGTTTCTTAATCATTGTAACTAACACTATCCTCTGCTTGCAGTCAAGTGGCTTTAATTGGTGTGATGACGTTGACGATTTTGCCCCATTACATGGATTCAATGAGAACAACTCGTCACTTCCCGATAAAGATTCAGGTGTAGCAAATGATCATAATGAAGGGGAATCAAACCATTCTAGCTATATTGAAACCTTTCCTAAATTTGTTCCTCGGGAGGTAAACATCCGGGATAGGGAGAGCGCAATTTCTCGGTACAAGGAAAAGAAGAAGACAAGGAAGTAAGCACATTGTGTAGATAATGATTATCTCATTGTTACTCTTTTTACTTCAAAATATCTATGGGACTCATTTAACAGTTATAGTTGTCATATTTGATACAAGTGAAACTCAAATATTTTTGTCATCAATATTTTTGTCAACTAGTAGATACGGGACAGGGTATTTGACAAAAATATTACTCGTCAACTATGGATATTTGACAAAAACATTTAAATTTTTGACCACTTACTTTTTCAACAACAATCACCCAAAAATAAGAGAAGGGAGAAGTGGCAACACGAATATTTAATCCCTCATGAAAAATGAGAAAGAGACATGTACTTTTTAACCCCACCACGGGATTAACACAGAGGATATTCTTCCCATTTATGATTTTCACTTTTGCTGAGACTTGTGATAAATACAATGATAACAGATATGAGAAGCAGATAAGGTACGAGTCAAGAAAAGCTCGAGCGGAGAGTAGGATAAGAATTAAAGGGCGTTTTGCCAAGATGGGATCTAGAGATACTGGTGGTACACAACAATGATTGATCTGTTCAAAGGGACTCTTATCGGTCAAAGAATTTAACCGCAAGTAGAGCAAAGGAGATGGGCTATACATATAGCTCACTGAGAATGTGAATGCAAGCTAGAAGTACTCTAGCTGTGTATATATGTGTGACATAACCTGGTGGTAAAACCAGAAAATGAATGTGTATGTAGCATTCATTTTATTTATGCAACATTTTAGTGGGGTGGGGGAGGGGGTGTGTGCTTATGTGCATGTATGCTGTTTATTGTAGCTTACAGGTAGATTGCAAATGAGTTTTGTTGTACAAAGTATGCCATTATTGTCGATGGTGTTAAGTTTATGCCACCAGGGTTACTATCTGTGGTTTGGTCTTTGCTAAGAAAAAATTTGTATGGTTAAGATTTATTTAGAAAGCGGAGAGGTTAACAACTTCTAATGAAGGAAATCAAGTTATTTTGAGCTTATAAAGACGGAGTCTTACTTTTGAAACTTAAATATAAATAAATAAAAAGAGTGTATGAGTAGCTTTTTTATTCGTTCAGCAACTTAAGTTTTTTGAAGGGCTTATATTAAAATACTGAAAAGACGATACAACTCAGGGGTGGACTCGGGCTGGGCCAACCGGCCCAGAACCGGACCGGGCCCGCTACTGTGTGAGTGTGTGGGCCCGGCCCGGCCCGGTTCGAGCCAACCGGCCCGGTGGGATGGCGGTTTGGGCTCGGGCCCTTCAAAAGGTGAACCGGTCCGGCCGGTTCGGGCTCGGGCCGGGTCTTTTTTTTTTTTTTTTGAATTTTTTTTAAGTTTTTGGGTTGGGCTGGGTATTTTGGGCCATTTGAGGTGGTTAGGGTTGGTTTGGGGGTGAGGGGGAGGGTTGGGGGTTAACTAGGAAAAGCCAAAAAAAAAATAGAACTGAGGCCCGGCTCGGACCCGGGGGTTACCCAGGCCGGTTCTGGGCCTCCCCTTCTTGAACCGAGGCTCGGCCGGACCCGAACCGGAACCGGTCCATGCCTGATACAACTAGACAGAAATTTCTAATCTAATCACTAGCCCTAGATTAGATACGATCATACGAAGTTATTTACCCATAAAAGAGTAAATTGATTCGCCAACTATAAGAGTATGAGATGGATAACGATAAACCTAGGCTTGGACTCGGTACGGGCCACCCGGCCCGAGAACTGACCCGGCCCGCTACTGTGCGGGACCGGCCTGGCCCGGGAAACCAGGTCCGGTTCCGATTCGGGCCTAGGCGGCCCGGTAGACCGGGGGGGTCTACCGGTTTCGGGCACGGGTAAGGGAAAAGGGGAACCGGGCCGGCCGGGCCGGGCCCGGTTCAGGCCTTTTTTTATTTTTATTTTTTGATTTTTTTGGTTTGGGCTGGGGTTAGTTGGGCTGGGCTGGGTATTTCCGAGTAGGGATGGACTAAATCGGGCCGGCCCGACCCAGAACCGGCCCGACCCGTTACTGTTTGGGCCCGGACCAGACCGAGACCGATTGTCCGGTTCCGGGCTTTTAGCCCGTTTGGGTGGGTCGGGCGGGCCGGGCTCGGGCCCAACTTTTGGTGAACCGGCCCGGTTCAATTTTTTTGTTTTTTCAATTTTTTTTGCTTTTCTAGGTTCGGGTTGGCTGTTTTGGGGGGGGTTGGGGGGTGGGGGTCGGGTGTTAATTAGAAACCAAAAAAAAAATTGAACTTGACACGGGCTCGGCCCGGCCCGGCCCGGCCCGGCTCGGTTAGGCCCGGACCCGGTATCAACCCGGGCCGGTTCCGGGCCCAACATTTTGCAAAAAAAGCCCGCCCGGCCCGGCCCGGGTCCATCCCTATTTCCGAGGGGTTTGGGGGTTGGGGTGGATGGGGGTGGAGGTGTAATAAATAAGAATAAAAAAAATGAACCGGAACCGGCCCGGCCCGGAACCGGTCAAGACCTGGGCCAGTCTCTGGCCTATGGATACGGAACCGGCGGCCCGGCCCGAGTCCAAGCCTAGATAAACCTTTAATGATTGAATTATCGTTCTTGTCACCCAACTTGACTCTAATATGACCTTCAAAGCTACCGTAATTTCACTCATCCAATTAACCAGAATAAAAACTCCTAACACACAACAAAAATGAAGTCATGAACTAGATTGATAAAAAAGAAAAAAACTAGAGGTATAAGTGTATAACAATGCAAAAGGCCAAAAAGCAAAGATAACACCCAAGTCTTCAGACTTCTAGGCTGGTCTGATCCTCCAGATCCCTCTAGCGCCAATTTTTCATATCCCATCTCTCATCTATCTATCTATCTGATACTGGAATTATCAACAAATGGATTGTTGGTGATGCAGATATTATCAATGTAAGACATCAAAAATTCGAGCATAAATAAATTGTTCATAGACCATTAGAAACAGTGGCGAACCCGCTAAGGGTCCCAAGGGGTCCCGGGACCCCATGCACCTCGAGAAAAAACCCTATATATATTATATATATATTATTTAAAATTAATTATTCAATGTATATATAAACACAAAACAACTTTAAAATAATAAGAATGGTGTAGCGGAACGGGAACACGTCCAGAAGCAAAGTATCTATGCTACTGGGAGGTATCATATTCGAATCCCGTTGGAGTTTTTTTTTGGCGTTTTTTTGTGTCATTAAGGGAAGGCTCGGCCCAACTTAAGCCCAAAACAAAAGACCCAACCGGCCAAGCTGGCAGGCAGCCCCTTTTCCTTTCACGCAAAGACCCAGCCCGCGGCAGCCCCCTTTTCCTTTCACGCTTTCACGCAACCCCCCAAGTCCCAACCGCGATTCTGGGAAGCGGCCAAACTTCCAAAGCCCCCTGCGGCCCTGCCCCTGTTTTCCTTCCACGACGAGTGACGACTGACCGAGTGACCGGCGACGACAAGCAGGAAGCGGCAAGCCGCCAGCGGGACAAGCGGGCCAAGCGGCCAAGGCGCCAAGCCAAAAACCCACGGGCCGGGCCTACCCGGACCGGTCACTGACCGGGCCACCGGGTCAGGCCGGGCCGGAACAGTACCGGTCCCGTGCCGGTTCCGGGTCGGGCCACCCGGCCCGAGTCCACTCCTAATTTTGACCAAATTGAAAATGAAAAAAATAATATTGGAGGAAAGATATTGAAAACACGGACCAAAGAAATGAAAACATTACGGCACACATGAGCTATAACCTCCTACGTATACCAGTGTTCACTAAGCATTCAATTTTGTCTAGGAATGGACCAACCCAGCCCGGGTTTGTACCGGGACCAAGCCGGACCTAAACAGTACCGGGTCTGGACCGGGCCTGGATAATAAATTAAAAAAATGGTGCAATCAGGCCTAGGACCGGCTGGGTCGAGCCTAAAAAACGATCCCGAGGCCCTCCCTTATAGCCACCGGGCCAGGACTAAAAAGTGACGGGCCCAGGCCCGGGTCGGACCAACCCATCCCAGTCCATCCTAATTTTGTCTTCATAACCGGACGAAAGCGTGCAGGCATCTCATCAAGCCAGGACGAGTATCATTCTAGTTCCTCCAAAATAAATCCAAACAGAGCAACATTGGAATGGCAAGAACAGGAACCGAAACTTACCTAGAAGGCCAGAAATTCAGGTACCAATATTGGGCTCTTGTAGTTGGTACAGAAGGTGGGGGACCGGAATCTGGCCAATTCGGAATTGAACCAAAACCAGCCCAGGTACACCTTTTGTGTCCGTACTTCCATCAACTTCCATCTTGTATCGGTACTTCAATTAACTTTCATCTCATGTAATCAGCCAAAGTAATGGAAGTACTTAAACCAAACTTCGAAAATAGGAATACTTGGTGAAATTCAAGTCAGTTGATATACTTAGTAATACTTTCTTTAAACGGACATTAAAACAAGTGTGTAACCTCTTGCAAGCGTTCATCATGCAAACATTCCATGAGGATAATCACAGCCCAATGACTTGTCAATGTGCAAAAAAATGAAGTCACAAGGAAAACGATTCTGTGGAACATGCAGCAACCACTGAAATGTGATACTATGGATAAAAGATGAAAAAAACTATCATCCCCGTATTGAATTATGTACAAAACAAAATGAGCAAAAAAACGGGGGCACAACGCAACGGATGCAGAAAAAGGAGGATCAACGTGGCAATTTGTAGAAGCCCAAAGAGCATATTTGTGTCCCTGAACAGCTCTTGATGCATCTGCCACAATCAAGAAATAATACGGAGTATGTATCAAATCTCTTCTTTATTAAATGATAAAATTGAATATTAGTGGATAAACATATTTTTCGATTTATTAGTCTTATCAATTATCTTTTTCATCAAATATGTTTTTGATACATACTAATATATTAGAATCTAGAGTAGCTTAAGAATGATACATATTAATTTTCGAAAAAATCAAGTAAAAAAAAAAACATATTAATTTGCTTAATATGTTTTTATTAATATTATGTATCATTTTTGGGGTAACTTGGTCTTGAGGTAAAAAAATCCTTCATTTTCTTTTCAAATTTCGCCAATGCTGGAGGAGAGAGGGGCTATTTTTTTCTTACCAAACAAAGCAAAGTGAAAACAATCCCTACCCTCGCCTTCCCAATAACCAAACACCATATACTAGAGCCGATATGATTTTGTATAAACGGTACTCTCAATATTTATTGTTTGCTCAAATAGGGTTTTCATGGACTTTCAGAAGAAAATTGTAAGGGTAGTGAATACTAGGAGATATAAGATGAAAAAATAGAAATACTAAGAAAGATAGTATGAACAAGTTAAAGGTATTTATGTAAGTAAACTTACCAAATTAGAAAATCTTCCACAAAAGGAATACGGAAAAATAATAAAAACAGGGAAGGACTCACCTGGCTTATCATTCACGAGCAATTTTGGTGTCAAAGCTGCTGAGGCAAATAGCAAATGCCTGGAAAGCCGAAATCGGATACTGATAATCCATGGTATACACATCCCTTCCAACTTTCCCAAATTGAAGAATGACACTTTCACGTTCATGTCCAACTCTACCCTCATTTCCCATAGAAGAAGCAACCAACTGGAAGTTTTTGACAGAAGCGACCGTTACCCGCCCATGGAAGTTAAGACACCAGCATTGAAGTTGCTCGTGCCACCCTGGAGCCTTGTTCCTCATTGTTAAAACATCGTCTTTCTGAACTGTTAAGGTTTCAGATTGGATACCATCCCCACGCTTGGATTTTGAGCGGAAAAATGGAAAAGAAGGGAATGAATCTATGCTGACAGGAAGGAACTCAGTTTGTGTGGGGGCTACACCTCCCGGTTCAACAGATGAAGCGGGGATCCCATCCATGATGCACTGCATTCTCCTTGGTCCTCTTTCCTCGCCAAAATAAAATTAAATTACAAAAATTCATTTTTGCAGGAAAATATAAACACATTGAAACTGTATTAGTGGTCTAAAATGCTTTTAGCGGCCTCCATTTCCGCAACATCTAACCACTCTGCTACAGTCTTGTAGCACGAGGCATCCCCACCGCTATAGCGCGCCGCTATTGGCATTGGGACAAAAAAATCCCGTTTAACGGGTCATGCTTCCCTAAACACTCCCCAAGACTTGGCAACCTACTGTTCAGGTAAAACTTAATTATATGTATCACTCTTATTACCAATGTACTGGAATCTTGAGTAAATTTGTGATTTTTAACAAACTTTTATGTGAAATTTCATATATATAAATCATATGCAGTAGAATTCTAAATTTTAAAGTGTGTTTTACAAAAAAGTTGGTAGATTTTTGACATTTTTGCCGATATCAATACCGATATAACTATCAATATATCCATAAAAGTAGAGTATCGATATATATATATATATATATATATATATATATATATATATATATATATATATATATCGTACCGGTACTTTAAACTTTGGATAGGAGGGCATGTCTTTCTTTATTTCTGGCTATTAATGGGTCATGCTACCCTAGCACCGCTATGGACATCGCGCAAAATAATCCCATTTAACGGATCATGCTTCTGTAAACACTCCCTAAGACTCGGCAACCGATTGTTCAGGTAAAACTTATATATATGTATCATTCTTATTACCAATATATTAGAATCTAGAGTAGCTTTATCAAAATTTATGTTAAATTTAGGATTTAAAATCATATGCAGTAGATTTTTTTCCCGTATATGCAGTAGAATTAAAACTTAAACTTTGTTTTACGAAAAATTGGTAGATTTTTAACATTTTTTGCCAATATCAATACCAATATATCTATCAATATATTCATAAAAGTAAAGTATATATAGGGTGTGGTTCTAATGGGAACAAGGCTTCTCATGAGAACGTGAGAACACCCCCAATGTGATGCACATAGGAGCGTGTCTATTGCACTTTTTAAACTTTGATCGAATCAAGCCAAAATCAAATAAATGAGGTGACATGTTGGTAAATATGTCAACATGAAAAAGTGCAATAAACGAGCTTCATTGTGCATCACACTGAAATTAAAATGTTTGTTCTCACGATAAGCCTTGTTCTTATTTCATCCGCAATTTATGTGTGTGTGTGTGGTGATGTTCCAATAAGAAAAAGCCTTCAGATAAGAAATGAGAATAAATCTCAACCGTTGTATTAGATTATGTTGCGATAAAAGAGGTTCACGTTGCATTGAGATATGCAACTATGCGCAGAGGCATTTCGTAAATACTTTTGAAAAATTCGAACAACATCTCTCCAATGCAACATTAAACTGTTTTAGTGCAACATCCTCAAATCCTAGTGCAATACGAAACTGTTTTAGTGTAACATCGCAAAATTTAAATAGTAGTGTAACATAAAGCTTGTTTTAGTGCAACATCGTAAATCCAACAGTTGAGATTCAATCTCACTTCTCATATTAGAGCATTTCTCATGTGAACCAAAATATCTCTCTATATATATACCCTACTAGTATTTTCACCTTTAATACCAAAATGGACAAAAAATGAATTGTTTACCTCTACTTACTGTGAAGTCATCGGACTATTTTGAGAACCACTCAATAGTAGGGATAGTTTTGAAATAAATGATAGTTAAAAATATTCAAAGCAGGCCAGCCTAGTTGCAAATCGCAATTCCTATCTTTAATATTTCCAAAAAACATATATTGAGTCTCCAAGACATTTCTACCTAGCTTCCAAAGTCTGTCTATACCCTTATTGCTCTAAAAGCAATTATGACTAAATAAGCGGAACACTGAGACTATTTTTGTTCAATAACACTTTTAGCCAAAACGCTTATGCTAAAAAGTAAAAACCTAAAACTACTTTGATTCATAAGCAGGCTTCTTCACACAGGTAGTCCAAAAACACAGCTTTAGCATATAAATAAAAGGCATGCAACAATTTATTGTTCAAGAGATAAACATATAACAAACCAACGTTTTACTCCCTATTTTCACAAGACGGGAAGAAATCTTTCCTTACCTAGAACCAAGAACATTTGATTCATAAGAAATATGAGCTACAGGGTAGTTTCCAGATGGTATACTTGGAGAGATTTGTTTGGTTCCCACCAGCTTGGTAGAATGAGATTTAGTCAACTTGATTTCAGAAGGGGGCTGTGCATCATAAATTACAAACTTAGTCCCCAGAAAGTTAGACCTGCATACCCACATGAGCAAAGAGCACTCGTCAGGAAGAAAGACATAAAGTGACGAACAATACAAAGTAAAACAGTATGGAGTTTTAGGTTTCTCCTCGCCTTAGCTTTCCAATGTAGGAACGTCTTCCCTTTGAGATATTTTCAGGGTTTAAGGAGATGATGTATTCTGTACATGTTGTCCGTCTACACTTTTGAGCAGCAAGAAGGAACTTGCCATCATCATTAGATGCTGTGGGAGGACAAAAATATTGAAAACGTTAACACCATATTATTGGTAGAACTTGCTGTGTTTTTCAATGGGATGCTTGTCGGATCTATATTAAATGTATAGAATGATGAAACCCTCACCACTTGGGGATTTATGGCAGGAGTTAGGCCCAACTTAACATGATATCAAATCCTTCTGGTTAGGGTTTGTTTGTTAGTTTGGCACTCATGGTTTGAGTAGTCCATTTTGGGTTCAGTTTATAAATTATTCACCCCTCAAGTTATCAATTTAGACTAAGGGTGTGTTAAGTGTCCTGTGTCTCACCTAGGATGTTTACGAGATCAATACCAAATACGCCCTCCGTCCCGAATTGAAGTGCAAATTTTGACTGGCACACGGATTAAGGAAGTATAGAAATAAAACTTGGCTTTGGCTTTACCATTTTACCCTTTTTATCAAAAGAAGGAAAAATCTCAAACGATGTGTGAAAACTGAAGCATCAAGTACAATTGCAACAAGAGTACTTCGTTTTTCGAAGCTGAAAGCCCGAAACCCAATCTCTTCACTCATCTTTGTTGTTTTCAACCGAACAACAATGGCGGTTTCAATTCAACCCTTTGCTCTCTTCTCCTCACATGGGGATTCCCTTCTCGAGTAGAACCATCTTCTTCTCCTCACAATGGCGGTTTCAATTCTCCCATTTCAGCTTCAGATTAGTGGAACCATCTTCTTCGCCTCTCGCCAATACCAGAAGGCCCTCTCCTTGACGTCGTAGCAGCTTGATGCGGAATCCGGCGAGAATACCCTAGCCAGAATCGCCGCTCGCCGAGAACAGCGCCACCGTCGGCGGCCAATCCAGCAATTGCAGAGCGGACTTCAGTAGCTCCGTACTTCACATGCCTCACCATTGGCTCCTAGGGCCGATTCCCAGGGCCTCTCATCTTCTTTAAAATCTGGAAGATAATTGAAATACTCCGTCCGTACTAAGGTTTATGTGAAGCTCACTCAAATCTTAAACTGGAATTTTTAGGGGAAGAAAGAGAAGCTGGAACAGTATTGGGCATGAGGAAGACGTACATGGGTGGTTGGGAATTAATATCTCTGTACATGGGTAAATAAAGTCCAAGGGCATATGTGTCATTTTATTCATTTCCCTTTACTTGAAATGGAAAGTGGAAAAACATTTTGGGACGACTAAAAAAGGAAATTTTGCAAAATAAATTGGGACGGAGGGAGTATATAACTGTGATGTAAACCTCACCTCTTAATTATCCTCCTCTTAAGTATTTTTATGGGGAACCAAGCCCAACGAACCATAGATTGGAGTGGGTGGCAATGATCCAGGCCCTGACAGCCCCCGAGTGCGGCAGAACACATATTTTAGTTAAGAATAAGGTACCGCTTAACTCAACTCTGAAAGAGTTATCAAGAGGTGAGGTTCCTAAGCCTTACCAAGAGTTTCATACATTTACATTTATCCAATGTGGCACACACTTCAGAGTCTTTTATATGTAAAGTTTTTATAATTTTACTAATAAAAAATTATAGAACGAATTATGTTTGCAACCCAACTAAAGTTCAAATTTTGGATACCCCGACTCCACCAATGAGCACCATGTTGGGGGCATATAACAATCGAAGAAATATTGCATATTGTATTAATTGAAGCTAAACCAAGTAAGAAGTGTAGAACAATTAGTTCATAAGGACCGCCATTGTATAACCATTCATCAATGGATGCCGCTTCACATATTGGATAAAAATGTAACAATGTATAGCAGGAAACTAACCTTCACTGAAATTTAAATAAAGATGATATGTTTGTGAACTGCGGTTACGCTTTATGAAACATTGGCAGAGAGTATCCCTTGGTCCCGGCTACAAAATACAGTACAAAAGTATCCCATAATTGATTAAGAACTCAATAAATATTACAACCGGCAGACAAAGTATACAAGAATAACTAACAAAAAAGACAAACCAAACTAATATAGCATTGAAGGGTAAAGGTTCCATTTAAGTATAAAAAAGTGTATTATTCATGTTAAAATGAGTCACAAACCAGTGTTTAGTGCACCTCTAGTTATTGTTGTTAAGTTTTAGTAAAACTTAACAATAAATAACAGGAATTTTATCAATCTACGACAGAATTATTAATCTGGGACCTGAAAGATGAAATATATCAATATAGGACCCGAATGTTGGAAAACTATCAATTTAGGACCCGAATGATCGAAAACTATTAATTTAAGACCTAGGTTGTCTTGAATTTATTATTATTTTTATTTTAAAAATTTTAATTATTATTTAGTTTTATTAAACTTTTTTCATCATTTGCAATGGAGCCAAAGATTCATTATTTTTTGGCTTGAGATTATGATGGAATAAAGCAAAATGACGCACTAAACTGTCTGCGCTTCTTTGTTATGGAGGAGCAGTCAGTCCATGCAATTTTGGACGTGATTTTCACTATGGGTCATCCGGAAACAATCTCTCTGTGCTTTAGTGCAGGGGTAAGACTGCGTACATCCGACCCCCCTTACCCCACCGTAGGTGGGAGCCTTTGTGGCACTGGGGTAAATGAAAATGAAAATGAAAATGATTTAGTTTTATTAAACTAATAAACTTTTGTGAAGAAAAGTTTATCAAAAATTAGCAATGGAATTAATAAATAATTAAATAAATCAAAACCCATGAAATGTTAGGTCCTAGATCCATAGTTTTCCATCATTCGGGTCTTATACCGATACATTTCATCTTTCAGGTCCCGGATTGATAATTCATCTATCTTTCTAGTCCTAGATTGATAAAATTCCTCTTCTTCATTTTACACGTCATATTGATTACATGTTCATATTGATTACATATTAATTACATGTTCATATTGATTACATATTAGCCGACCCCAAAATCTTTTGGGACTAAAGCTTGAATATTGATGTTGTTGTATAGTTGATGCCTTGATGAATGCATAACTACAAAAAATAACTTAATTTCCACTTGGTACCATTCCCATTTGGCAGCTCATTGTCCACTATTCTATATGCACTAAAACTCTCTTAATATGGGATAGGAAAATCATGTAGGGAGTATGGTTGCTATTGCTAGCAGCAATCCCACAATAACCTCATTTTATTTTATTCTCTTAGGGTCTGTTTGAAATAGAGAAAATGTCAGGGGGAAATGATGGGATGATAATATAGGAGAACTTTGGAAAGAAAGAAAGAAATATGCTGACGGAAAAACATATCGCTTTAATCTCAATAAATTTATTTTTAATATTTGTTTGAATACACTTTTATTTACTCTAATGAAAAAATAAAAAAAATAAAAAAAAATAAATAAATAAAACTATTTACTCCGTATTTACTTGAATTGTGTAGATAGAAAGCAAATTATATATATATATATATATATATATATATATATATATATATATACATACATTAGAAAACAACTATTCTTTCAATAGCATTTTCCAAGATCCAATCACAATTCACAACACTGAGGAAACTTTTCAAAGAGGTTAAGCACTCTTTGAAAAGGATCTTTGACATTGGATCTCCTCATATTACCGAGGAGGGCAGGGCCGCGCGGATCTGGGGAGAGTTGGATCGCAGACAATCTCAAGCACTAGTATGTGAGAGAGATGGATCTAGTGGTCCCAGCCCATGGAACTCCCAATTGCCAAATTTAGAGAAAAAAACAGCAGCCAGTTGTCTAGTTGGACAGTGTTGTGTTGCAAATAAACAAGTCATGTGTGTACAGTTGCCATTTTTTTGCCAAATTTGGAAGGGAAACATAATAAATATGTCCAAAAGTAAAATCTAAGCACAACAAATGACAAATCAAACCTAGCTATTCCATCTGATATAAATTTCTTTAAATAAGAAAAGATTTCGTTTTTATATATTTAGAACTGGAATAAAACCTGTTTCAGAGAGATAGGGAATGTTAATCTGCCACAAACATCCGGCCGCTTAACAGTTTCTTTCATAATTTCTCTCCAGCTCCTGCAAACGCCAGCACAAGAAACCACACTTTTCCTAGGCGGCCATGTGGATTCAGAAGCCTCAATCCTCTTAAGAACATCCCTCAAGAGCTCAGGTGGCATATTAGCCCAACAGCTCTGCCTCAGCGCATCTACATGTTCCACAAAGCTGTCCTGAACCATCCTCTGTGACCATGACCGACCAAACCTCACCTCAAAACCTTTCCTAGAGATACTCCCACATTCACCTTTCGTGTCCCGAGGGATTATACTTCTAAGAGACATTCTCAAAGCCGCCCCAAGAATACCCAGACTGCAGAACGAGCACAGTAGGACAAAACAGGCTAAAGCTGCAAGCTTTGACGATGGACCGGGGAATATCAACTGGTAATTGATCAAGAATGCAAAAATGGCTGATCTTTGTAGCTTACAGTGGAGCAGATCTGTGAATGGTAAAACAAACTTTTTGTAAAGTTGTGGAATCAAAAGGGGAGTCCTGAAAATTTGATTTGAGGGTTGATACTGTGGATGAGGAATTTGGTGGGGGAGGTAGTGACGTAAACGCAGTCTTCTTTGTTGGCGTTAATCGGGTGGGTTGCGTCGGAATAGGTTGTGCGGAGCGTCGAGAGGATCGCGTCAATGCTGTAATAGCGGGGTGTATACGGAGTCGGTAATGCGGGTCGGAGATAAGGGTATGGTGGGCTATGGATCGGATGCCCACCATGTGGACCATAGTCATGGACATGGCCTTTTCTTTTTGGTCGTCTCTAGGGCATATTGTGAGTCAAAGAATATAGACCATATACTCGATAAGAATTAGAACTAGGATGACTTGAATACATTGCATACACTAAATTAATGGTAATGTATTTTTTTTGCAAAGAATAAACTTATATCATACGGAGTATTACTCAGAGTATGGTTTAGAGCTACAAAGACACAACTAGTGGGAGAAAATATCCAAATTTTGCTTTCAAACAAACAAACAACTAATTGAGCAAACTCGTGAGCGGTACGATTCACTAATATAATGTTAATGTACTTAAAAAATTAATGCGTAGTATGTGTGACGTATCTAGGTAATCAATATGCTCATATTTACATACTTCATAAATTTACTCATTAAGTTCATCTGTACACCTTGTGCCCTTGATAAAATTAAAAAAGCAAAAAATAAATTAGCATGATAATCGAAATTGGGGATTAGTGAATGGAATAGTGTTATAAGTGGTAAATATGCACCATGCCTCCCCTTTAGATCAACACATTGCATTACTCGGTAGATATTAATACCCCTTTTTTTAAGAATGATACTAGTTCATACATTATGATCAGAGTCGAATTGAATAGAAGCTATTAGAAGGAAACGTTACTAACTCAGTGTTTAAGAGAATCTTCTTAAAAAATAAAAGTTTGAAACATCGCCTTTGATCATGTCTGTTTTAAGATCGATCAATCTAAGATGATGTATTTTTATTGGATTATGATTTTAACAAAATAAAAGAAATTTTTTATGGCACCAAAGTGAAATGTTGCTTTTGTCCCCTTGTACCAAGGTTGAATCCACAAACCCAAGTGCCCCCATGTTTCACCCTCACATAGCATATGGAGGTATTTAAATCATGGTAAATCGGGTAAACACAAAGGCTAGACTAGTGTCAACTGCGTACAAGAAGTTCCCTCACTTTGAGATGTTGTTCCCAGACTGCAATCGGTAGGACTCAATAATCCTAAATTACGTGTGCCAAATTTCACTTCAAGTGACCAATTGGGCTGTCCATGAGGCGATGAAGTGTTTTAAGTTGGGTTGCTTCTATTCCTATGAGGTAATGAAGTGTTTTATGATGTTTTTGTTAGCTCTCAAACTAGCACAGAGAGTTGTAAATGAATCAAATATTTTACACTCAATTCGTGATTCGAACTCATTTAGGATTATTTCAATCCGAAAAACTTACACAAGAATGAAAAGAATAGTAATTTTGATTTGAACATATCTCAAATACAAATAAACATTAATATATTCGACTCAAAGATTCTTCAGATATATTCAAATGATAGTGATTATAATGATGAGGATGATGACTATGATGATGATGATATCAGTAATAATAATAGAATTATGAGTTGAAATTGTTGTGGTTGTTGATGTGGCAGTGACAGTAATAGTGATAGTGGTAAAGACATTGGGAGTGGGAGTAGTAGTGGTTGTGGTGATCGTGATAGTAGTAGTAGTAGTGGTAGTGGTTGTATATCTTCGCGATATACCCACATGGGGACTTCAAGTCCCTCAGTACCTCCAATTTCATGATCCATGGCCTTCCATGATTTTCTTTGCATTGACTTTTTTGCAATTCATCAAGTTTGTTATTCAAATCAAGCACGTTGAACTTGCATGGCTTACCTGAGTGATGAGTCTTCTCTCTGTGGGGCTTCTTACCCCGAAACCGAGAGGTTTCCTATGACCCAGGGCTACCACCCTTAGTGTTCGAAGACCCAACGCTATCTGACTTCTAGGGGGCTTGCGTTTTGGCGGTGAGATGTTGGTGTAACTGAACGATTGGCTTTTTGTTTCAAGTCCCTACATATGCCAGTATGTCACCAATGTTGATTTTTATTCAGTTTTGACAAAACATATCTCTTTGATTGAGCTAATGGATAAATAAAATAGTATGTAAATGGCTTAACCCAAGGCTTAGAACATTCAAACGATAGAATCTATATTACTTCAGTAAGGATTTTCATGTCCTGTTACAATGACGGTTGATCATCTACATATAGAGGATACCAACTGTTGAGGGTAAATCTCGTAGATCCGAAAGCCCAACACGAACTTTGGATATATCAGGAATGGCCCAGAATCAAAGTGTGTAAAGAAATATAAGATCTGAACTAACTAACACTCGAAAGCTCACTTGTATTAATTAACCAACCTGATTACGAGGAATTTCCCGATCGGTAGGTCGGAAACTATGCTGTAATACAAGAAATAAGAGCAAATGATGCTATTCTAGAGCCTGAGTATTGAAATGCTAACCCTTACAATGACTTGAAACCTTCTATTTATACTAATGGAGAGCATGGGCTGCCTCATGCTGATTGGCCGTTGTTCCACCGACTTGGTCATCCATGCTTCCACTTGCTGATGTCATAGTCTGGCATTAATTGCACCTGGCCACTTGTTGTTTGGCCGTTGCTCGAACGGGATGTTGGGTTGTACTGAAAATGCTGTCAAATTGGCCCAAGTATGATATATAGCCCGAACCTCGTTCGGTATGTCTTCTTACTGGGCCAATCTTTATTTGGGCCGAACTCCGTTCGGTAGGTCTTCTTACTGGATCTATTCATCATAGAGTGATGGGCCCGTTGCTTGGGCCGGATATCTTGGGCCTTCTCGATCTGGGTATTGGGCCTCTAGGTCAATATCCCAACACAAGTCCCCCACTTCCGATGTCTCGAACGAAGTGAGTGCATTAGGAAGTATATCAATGTTATAATACCCCGAATGGCGATCGGGGTACAGAAGTAATCAGTTCCCCATGCTGCGATTCGACGGCTGCCGCTTCATTTCCCCATATTCATCATGATAATCGTCGTTTAGTCTTTTCATTAGACACGTGTTTAGCTTAAATGCTCCTAGTGACGTGTCGCTCTCTGATTGGTTCTTGACACGGCGGTTTCAAGGCTATAAATTAGCCTTTAACTTCTCAATTCCGGGTTTCGATTCTGCAATTCCTTGGCCTTCGTTGTTTCCTCTGCAATTTTCTCCCTACTTCCTTTGCTCAGGTAATTTCCCAACTTCGGATTCCCTATCTTCATTTCTGGCTTCGACCGAGATGAGCCCCAAAGAGCATTCCTCTGATTCGGAGATGGCCTCTCATGGAGATGACCGTGACACCGCCATTGTGGATGTCATCACAGTTCCGTTTGCCGGTGTTTCTACTGAAACGGCGACGAATACCAGGGCTGAGGCGGAGGACCTCCCTAGCACTTCTTCTTCCTCCAGTGAGGATTCCGATGACACCAAATCCGAGGACGAAATAGCCTCCATGGCGGCCGGACGTCCCAACGATGTTCCTCGCCATACCCTTGACCTAAAATTGATTAGGGAGAGGCGGCAAAAATTGACCTCTCATAATAGGGCCGAAATTCCGGCCCTTATCCCTGACCCGGTGGACTTCCGTTTGCAAGCTGGGCTTCACCCAATGCGTCATAGGCCCGGAATGACCATAGTCCATTTTGACTCAATTAGGGCCGGCCTTAGGTTTCCACTACACCTCTTTTACATTTCCTTCTTCAATTTCTACGAAGTTGTACCGGCCCAGATTATGCCGAACTCCTATCGGGCAATGGCGGGTTTTATTTGCCGTTGCAAAGATGCCGGCGCCCGACCAACCCTAGAACTTTTCCACCAATTTTTCAAAGTAGCCCCCCAACAAACCCACGGCTATCTGGCCACCAGTGCCCGAACGGGACACATCCTGTTCAAGGGAAACCCAACTTCAATTAAAGGGTGGAAAGACCGGTTTTTCTTCGTGTCTGTCCCGGACGGCCTAATTCCCCGCAAATGGAATGCTTTCCCCCGCAAAACTCCTGATCCTGTCCTCACTGAAGAAATCTACAAGGACGTGCTTGCTGTGGAGAAGGATAAATGCATGGACATCATGAGTTATCTGATTCCCGAACGACTCATTACAGCCGGGATAGGTACTGCCCGTTCTCTTGGGTTTACTTGTTTTGAGAAACCAAGTGCCATGGTCCGGGCGGTCCTTCCCGTGCGAGAAAATGTAAGTACAACCTTAAGGAATAAATGTATTTAGATTTTGATGATGCTAGGTTAATTAGAATTTGAAAGTACCCCATTGGAAATTGTGTATTAGAATTTCTTTTGTAAGTTTTAGCTTAGTCTGTCTGCCAGAGTTCCATCTTGCCTCTACCAGAGTTGCTCCCAGAGTTGCTCACCAGAGAAGCCATCAGAAACTGGTCATCAGAAAGATACCAGAGTTGGCAACAGAGACGGACTTCAGAGATTGGACCAGAGAGCCTCTTAAGACTCTGCTAAATCCACCAGATTCCGGAAGCCTTTCCAACGGTCGTTAAACTAACGGGAAATCCCCTAACGGTTACGAACCTTTCAACGGAAACATGGTACTGTACACGCATTAAATGTGCATTTAATGTTGTACGTACGAAGAGATATTTAAAGCTGATGATTGACCATGCGAGTATCTTTACGCCCCCAAAATAGCAAGTCGAAGGTCCAACCGGTCAAGTCAACAGTACATGCAATTAATGAAGCTGTCTTCTACACTCCAACGGGAAGACTGCTCCGAGTATATAAGATACACCCTGAAGAACTAAGAGAATAACTTTGCGTAAAATCAACCTTCTTGAGATTCAAACTCCATCCTTAGACAAGAAAAGGCTCCACTTGGAAGATATACTTTCCTATCCTTCATCCAACTAGCAAACTGCAAAGTTACTCAGTTCTTCAACACTTCGAAAGCTTCATATACTCATCCTTTGTGAAGAAGCCACGTTGGAGAAAACTGATTTTATATCAAACACTTCTTGAAAAAGAAGGGACGTCTCAAACTAGCTGGAGTAAGTGAAGTGGGGATACTTCAAGAGACTCAGTGAAACGAGACCAGCCATCAGG